ATAGATTGTACAATATTAACATATGTATGGATCAATGCAGGGTGCTGTCGCAGGTGTTAGCAAAAATTGAAAATGTACAGGGTGTTTCAGTTGATGCATGAGTAGTATTAGTAAAATATTTATTCTTTTTTACGTAAGTAAGGTCTGCTTTGAGTGTAGTAATATATGAAGAATTACTTTCAGCCGTTGTGTAACGCTACATTTCTTTCATAGTTTCTTTACAAAGATGCATTACGCAGTACGATGACAGTAACGGTAATACTAGTGCGTTCGTACTTTTTTAACCGAAAGTTTATGACTTGTAGTACTTATTTTTTTGGGGCATTGCGAGAACATCCAGATCGAGATACGGCTGAACATAGGCGCACACAAAAAGGCTCTGTATTTTGTGTCCTTTTGTTCTTTACAAATATAGTGGTGAAAGAAGCTGTGCGGGCTGTTCGTCTGAAGCGAATCTGAAAATGAGTATTTTTGTTAAGCCCTTTGCTTTTCTTATAAACGTTGAGCTTTAGACTGGGTGGAATAAATAGTTACAAAGCAGTTGATCCTTGCTCGCTTTGAAGCCTCCTTGTAAAAATCTAATTTTATATAACTGAAGATTCACAAATGTTTTGGTCTTCTTCGTTAAATTTCAACGATACCTCCGACGATGGGTTGAATTGCGTAAGAAGCGTTTTCTCAACATTTCTTAGACAGATCTGCGTCGATTTTATGTACCTCTTATGACGCGTAGTTGGAATCTCAGATGGTCTTGCGTCGATTCAACATCCACGAAAGCCCAAACAAGACAACGGTTGACCGAAATTACCGAATGAAAACTAGCAGAAAGCCCTTTCAAAGTTCATGTCCAATTTTTGGCCTTCTTTTGCTTTGCCATGCATTTGTAATCTCCCAAAGCAAACTAGGTAACAAGTTCTAATTTAATACGTTGTTAGTCGAATGATCAAATAAATCTCGGTGCACGACCATTCGCGACGAGCCAATGTAATAGTATAAACACAAGCATTGCTTTCTAAACGTATACATACATGCTATACATATTAAAGAAGAATAATAATAATATATTCTACATAAACACATATCGTCACGGCCATGTGCCATCATCAGCACATGATTTTAATTCTAGTCCTACGAACCGCACGAGCTTATAACTACCATAGACAGCAGGGGAAATCCACGGACGAACAACGGAAAGGCGTCGTTCTACGATATCTGTTGTCTGTCGTCTACCTCTCAATCCAAAGAACGACAATAAGCATCAGCAACATACACTATACATTATAGACAAAACAACAAAAACGAGATTGACAATTTTGCGTTCAATAGAAAGAACAACAATATATAATGCACAAACAATATCAGTGATCTGTAAATACACTTAAACACACATGCGCATGTATGACAGACACTGCTACGGTCATACTATTATTAACAACAACAAGGACAATAACAACGACAGATAGTTGTATGTAGTGATAATATGACGATAATGATGCTAACAACAAAATCTTATTATTATAAATTATCTATAATAACACGGAAAAAAATAGTAGAAAAAGAAGTAGACACATGAAACGATTCGAACGAGATTATTTTGTTCAGATGATTGGAAAAATGGCGTCATCCACCTGGTAATGTTTTGTGATAATAACGTCTATTACTAGTAGCCGTAATAGAAATAATAACAATACGATGCGATACGCGATTGATTGTAAAGAAATGAAACTTGTAAAAAAAATATAATAAAATATATTTCTCCGTCACTACCAATACGGTGATGTATTTTCTGCCTTATAGTTATTACAGCCCTACAGGCTTTTAAAATTATTGTTGTTTGCCTTTACGGCCCACAACCTCGCGAAAGACTTTTCGGCCGAGCGGAAAATTTTTTCGATAGATATGCTCTAACAAGATTAAGGTATCCTATTGAGACTGCGTCACATTGTAGAGAATATGCTATACTGTGTAGTTCAAAGAAGCTCGAGCTATCGGAAGTCTGAAAAAACCTACCGGCATATGTAAATATAATGCTAAAAGTTATGATAAACGAGAAAAGGGCATTGATATCAGAATGTATCATCGAAAGCACATTACAGCGCCAACGACAAAAAATAGGGTTGTGCTACCGCGCTTCTAGGGCAGTAGGCGGATGTGAAGAATACGGCTACTAGCTCAAATAAGAGGCGCTATTATAGTTGACTAGGTGCTTAAGGTTTATAGGTTATTTGCAGCTATCGCGTCTTTGCAGATTTTTGAGACAATCTTCATGTACTCTATTTTGTTGCCACAACCCACGCTTTCGCTACAGACCTTTCGGTTATGACAAAAATTTCCCAGTATATATATGTTGTGCTTAAACCTTCCTAAAGGCCTAGAGGTTTTGAAGGTCAACTTGATTAGATCAACGAAAATCTATCAGCGATTTAATAGATTATCTTTGCTGCTGACACAGTTTAATGAGCCAACGCTCTGTCTGTCGTTGATCCTCACTTTTTTTTTCATTATTTGATTTAATTACAATTGTTTATAGAGCCACTTTTCATTAAAGTATATTATGCTACAACGTCATAGAAATAAATACAACTGAGAAGGATATGTTCATATTATTACGTTATATTAAGCTTTATT